TGCAGTAAAATGTTGTGCAAAGAAATTGAGCAGTTTCTTTCTTTGGAAAACTAAACTAAACTAAGATAACAGATGAATGCATGAATGAATGAATGAATGAATGAATGAATGAAATTAACCGTTAACCCTTTAATGTGTCTTGGAATCATACTTCAAAAATACATTGCAACTTTCAAAAAGGAGTCAGTGTAGTGATGAATGAATGAATAAACAAATAGATTAAAAACATGAATTCATTAAATTAAATTAAATGATAAACTTTTGGTTCCAGGGTCAGTGTTAGTCACACAGATATGTTAACTAGCCAAAATATTTTCTCTGATCTCTCTGAGCCGCCCATGCATATCATTGCTGGCGTAATATTCCTGGTTGGCCCCACGAGAGAAATGATAAGGATATTGAATTCTGAGAATTCACTCTACAGAAGTGGAGATGATTAACCACCCCCACCCACACCCACCATCTCCCCTGACCACCTTCTTGCTCTTCTGTGTCAAACATATGCAGGCACAAGTGTACAAGTGGTGCAGCCTGCATGGCATTTATGATCTTTCAGCTTCTGGGAGCTGATAACCATTTGGCCTATTTGGTGTGTAGTAGATTTCCTTTGCTCAAATGTTGAGAAGAGTCCATCAGCTACAGTATGTTTTCTTGGTAATATAAACCCAGAATGGAAATTATTCTTTTTTTTTTCTTCATTATATAGTGTATGATAATGCAATCTGTTCATTTCTACCCCACAATATATGACCCTAGTGTTTGATGAGACACGTGTAAAGCAGTGCAAACATTATTGCATTTGCATCTTTTCACATTAGCCCCAGCCAGTTTATCAGTGTGACAGTCGTCCTTACAAGACAGCTCTAATCTTTGCTGTCTGTCAGGGTCACATTTCATGGCTCTGGCCAAAATTAACTGAAATTTCATCAGATTTTCTCTGGTTCCTTCAAGCATCCTGTAGTAGTGGTTCCTGCCAATTAGTGCAAAGGTAACACTGCACTTGTAGCAAAAAAGTGTCTACTCAGATTGCATCAGCAAATTGAATATAGCCTGTATATTTTTGGCATTTCATGTGTTTGACCATCATCCTCTGCTAGGGAGGTTGTTTTTTGCCTGACTGTGTGCTTTGACGTAGCCCAGGAGGTGTCATGGAGAACTCACCTGTACACACGATTCAGTAATTCACACTCTGTTTTTGATAATTAGTGCTATTAGTCTTGCCTTTCAGATTCTCACCATGGCTCACTCTGATTTAATATGGTTTTATTTAGTTAAAAGTCCAGTTCATAACATTTAGGAGGATCTATTAGCAGAAATGAAAAATAATATTCATAGATATGTTTTCATTAGTGTATAATCACCGGAATACAGGAATTGATATGTTTTTGTTACCTCAGAATGAGCTGTTTTTATCTACAGACACCATTGGTCGCCTTTCATGGAGTCCGCCATGTTAAACCACCATGTTTCTACTGCAGCCCAGGAGGGACAAACCAAACAATGCCTTTAGATAGGGACCTTTAACTTATTCATCTTTAATATCATTGCACACTGATTCGCTATGAAAACTTTGATCTTTGAACTTTGAACTCTTTATCCACCTTTATCCATCCTTTGTCCACCACTCAGAATAAAAACTTGAGGGTTTAATGAAAATTTTTAAAGTTGAATTAATTGTATGTTGCAGAAGCTTGTGGATTTTGCCTAAGGTGACAACAGCTCAGTAAAGGTCAATTTCTATATTTATAAGTGAAAAGATGTCTCTCTACGGACTAAATGTACTGAAAACTAAATGTTTTATGCAACACCCTTTATTTCAGTTGAATTTTAATGACTATATTTTCAACATGTAACAGGTTCTACAGGATCTCCCAGTCATATTTCTTGGTCAAAAAGTAATATTCCTTCAAACATCATTGTATAATAAGTGATTATACCAACACAAAGGTTAAGATAATTGTTTGTTGCAAAAACAGTTTTTAATGATTCATTACCCAATTTTTGATAATATTATTATATAATAGTTTTTATAATATTTGATATATACACATATTGAGATGAAAGACAAAAGCAAATTTGTAATTAAAGTAATTATGTGAAGATGCACAGATACAAAGTATCATGCATCACTTGAGGACATTTTGTATGTAATAAAGAAGTCATTGATTGGGTTTTGTGTAATTTTGCATCTGATAAATTCTAAAAAGCTACAACTGTGCACATTTAAAGGGACCAATTATTACATATTATATTCATTAAAATAGCCGTATGTTCTCAAGAGGGTAATTATTATGTATTTCATGTAGTCTTTTAATTAGAGCTATTTTAGAAACTCATCATTGTTACTCATTAGAAAGAAAAATTACACATTTAACTGTTTCAGTCATGTCGGTGGCACTGTCATTATACAGCATGTGAGAGTCTGTTAAAGTTGGAGATTCAAATTCACACAAATGCACAAAATAACCATAGCTCTGTTAGATTTCATTCTCTGTCTAGTTAATAAAGCTCTTGTTAAGTGTGGCCTTCAGGGCAGAATTCAGAACAGGTCCTATCTTCCTCTCTGGCGCTTATCTAAGCACAACGTCCTTCAGAAGCCATATAAAGACCAGAGACACGCACTGTTTCTTTGCTGTCACTGCCGAAAACAGACAATATGCTGCCTGCTGTTGTAAAGCTCTGCTGTGGAATCTCCTACGCACATCTGAGGAGTATGGCAGGTAAACACTCTCAGTAATCTGAGGGAGGACTTTTCTCTTTATTCATTTGCTTGCAAATGCTGCATTCTGGGTAAGACTAATGAGCTTTTGTTCCTGTTCAATCATGCAGGACTTCAACGCACAGCTGTGGCAGTGATAGGCCAGGAGCTCGCACACCTGCAGACATGGGGGCAGATCCAACATCACATAAGAACACATGCTGGATTCAAGTATACTGGTAAAAATACATACACATAATTCTGTATTTTGTATTCAGTTGTGTAGTTGTTGAAAGATTACATGGAAGAATCTGTTGCAGAGCCCAAACTTGAAGATATAAAGCCTGTGCCATCAACAGAAGATCAGCTATTCTATGTACAACAAGGCCAGGAAGCAATGAGGAATGCTCTCAGTATGTTGGAGGACAAAGAAGGATGGAAAGTTGAGATTGCAGAGGTAGCATCTCATTGATTTCATTTTTAATTTTTATTGAAGTAATTTGCTTCCAATTTCCATGCTCTGCTGAATCTAAGTGACCGTTGTGTTTATCTGCTTGCTTGTTGCTCCCTTCTCAGAGCGACGGGGATGTGATCTGTAGCAAAGTGATGCCGGGGGCCAGGAAGGTCTTCAGGCTGGAGGCGGTCCTGGAGGCCAGCATGGATGAGCTCTACGACCTTTTGTTTGTCAGGGTGGAGGAGATGCACCAGTGGAACCCGAGCATACAGCATATCAAAGTAAAGCTGCTGATAATTAGATATTTCATCAACTGTGAAACTGTAACCTAAAAATACCGTAAACGTAAATACTTTTTATTGTAAGCAACCTGAGTTTAGAAGAGATTTTCAGAACTATATTTCAGTCAACTTCTTGTTCACTTGAAATGTGATTCACATTATGTGAAGGTCTGCATTGTGCGCATTATAGCCATAATTAATTGAATTCATGCCATTTCTTAACGGCAGGAAATGTATTGTTGCATTGCTATACTTCTCATTAAATACATTCAATTGCAATTTAGCTCTGCAGTCCACGTGCAAGCTAAATTTGTGTCCTGTGTTGCAGGTTCTGAAGCATGTTGGACCTGAAACAATTGTCACTCACGAGGTTTCAGCCGAGACCGCAGGAAATCTGATAGGCCAAAGGGATTTCCTGAGTGTCAGACACAGTTGCAAACAAAAGTCGGCCGTTTATCTTGGAGGAGCAGCGATTCAGCTGGAGTCCTTTCCACCTCAGGCAGGCTTTGTGAGGTAGGACCATAACGCAGCTAGGCATTAATCATCGTGTGTTAAAATATAATCAAAAGCTTCATTAAAGGTTCTCTTATAGTATACAGGGCCTCTAATCTCATTCGTCCAGGCAGTGAGATGTCAGAACAAAATGGAAAAACATCTTTGACTCTACAATAATAAATCCAGTGGAGTGTTTTGATTTGACATTTTAATTTGTTCTGACAGTCTGTGGAAACGTGCTCAGCACCAGGTGATATCAGTGGCCTTCTGGAGTCATATCTCATGTGTGAGAGATAAAATGTTTTATCAGACTGATGTCAGAGGAACTTGAAAAATATGAGGATAGAGGAATAGCCATTGTATTTTATGTTGTATATCTTTGCTCTGTCTTTTAAAGCATGTTTTAAAGATACTGTATAAATACAGTTATTATTATTATTTTAAAGGTCCAGTGTGTAAGATTTAGGAAACTCTATTTACAAGATATGGCAAATCGCATTTAATATGCGTATGCATGTTTTTAGTGTATTTAGTTAGTGTATAATTACCTTAGAATGATCTACAGACGCCGTGGGTCACCTTCCAAGGAGTCTGCAATGTGACACCACCATGTACACAATATGTTTATGTGACAGTTTGAAAATAAAAATATACAAAATGGACAAACACATAATCCACACTAAAACTTGGTTGAGTACTAGCAAGTTAATGAGTTTGCATGTTTACAGAGCCGAGGATGGACCAACCTGCATCGTCATTCAGTCTCTGGACGATGACACAAGAAAAAGCCGCTTCACATGGCTGCTTAATATGGATGTAAAGGTAAATTCATATGTAATGTATTTTCCATTTTGTGAACGATAATAGGAAAAAGCATCTGCAGACCCAAATGTGTGTGTGATATTCATTTATAGCAATAAATATGTGTATGAATATTGCACGGATGGGAGTGTACAGGTGCTTTTCCTATTACTGCAAATTGATTTCAAGCTTCAGCACTTCTGCCAGGGTTTCATCAGATGAGCAGTGTGCTACCTAGGTTTGCCATTTTCCGCTTTATGCAATAGACAAACAATTCAAAAACAAAACGGTACTACACACAACCAATCTTTTTCAGAAAAACAATCTGCTAAAATGATGTGCAGGTTTCAGTCCAGGGCACACTTGGTGGAATTATCACTGTAGAAATGTCTGAATCTGCTCTTTAAGATGCTCTCGATAAACATAGAACACATTGTTCATATTCTCCCAGGATTAACAGCAGAACCCAGCAGACATACTGTGATACAAAACACACAATTTTGAGATAAGGAATAGCTACAGAAAGATAAGGAACCAGACCTGGAGAGTCCGAGGGTGGCAGAGGGAGTAAACAGCACAATCAATCAACAGCAGCAGTGCAAGTGAGGATGGTTTGAGGAGCCAGATGTAGCTGCTGTTTAGTGGATTTCAGTGATAATGATTCAGTGTGTAAGCAGCATTTACAATACCAATACCATCTGAGAAGTTTAGAGGGGAAATGGGTCTCATAGACAGCTGAAAGTTGTCAAAGGGTCCAACTACACACAGCTTTTTTGTAAAGGGTCACAAGCCAAAAAATGCAAAAACAAAACAACTATTTATTTGACCAATGGTAAAAACTGTACCACAACATTTCAATACTTGAGTACAGTACTTGAATAAATTTATTACTTTCACAGGACAGACAGGAGCTGCCTACTTAAGCTACATTTGACATTAAAACTGCATACAAATGATTAGGTTTGAACTGAGTACTCAGCTAAAATTGTATCTGGTACAGATAATGTACTTTTTATGAGTAATTGTGCCAATATATGTACTTGTAAATACTGGTATAGCAACTTTTATAAAGAAAAGTTGTTCTGTTAATCCTTCTCTTGTGATCAAAAACATTGATCTGAAGCTAGATTCTGTAAATATCCTTGCAATTTATCTCAGTTTTATTTAAGTTATAATTGTTTTAATTGTAGTACTTTAAAAACTGTGGATTATAAAACCAGAAATTGTATAATTGATGGAAATAAAACTCATACACATACTAATGTTCTAAAGAACGTATATAGCATTTGCATATTTTTTATGAACAGCACATACTAATTGTGCAGCAGCAAACTAGCTAGCTGATACTCCCTTTTGTTTACCTAGACAGTCACCAAAATATCATCCAGGTGTCTAACAAAATTAATGTTGTTCTCAGGGCTGGCTGCCAAAGTCCATTGTCAATCAGGCTTTGCCCCGAGCACAGCTGGATTTCACCAGACACCTCCGCAGACGTCTCACAGCGGGAGCCACCCTGCGCTGACTGAGTCTGTGTGACACCCACATCGCAGCAGCACCCAGCAGCATCACTCACAGGGGAAGACCGGGAGATGGAGGCACGGTGACAGCCAAGCTGCTTGACTGAACGCTGTCCTTTCAGCGAGAGCAGAAACGCTGCCTGCAGGAGACACTCAGCCCGAACACTGGCAGATACAAGTGTCAGCAGCCCAGAGCCAGGCTGGCAGAAGAAAGCTGGCATATAATAGGAATAAATATCACAGTGTGCCAATCAAACCTCATTAAGATTTCCTGATTAGGAGTGATCACTTGTCTGTTGACACAACATTGCATATGACTGGACAAAATTAATAAAGAGCTTGAATGTGCCTATTTTGCCTGATTCATTTTCTACCATCAACATTGTAAAAACATTTTGAATACCACATTATTAGAAACAGTGCATAACAGGTGCCTCTTTTCAACTATGACTCAATTCAGACTGAATCAATCTGTGAATTTTTTGTAACAAAACAAAAAAACAAAAATTCAAGGACAACTTGTGTAGTCCTACATGTCTGCCTGTAAATGGAATCTATGAAAAAGCTCAAGTCTAAATATAACAACAGTAAATGAAGGCCAAATAGAGGAAAGTCAAATAACAAGAATCTCAGTTCTTTTAAATGTGTTTTACTTTGTTCTCCATACCACTTAAAAATTCAATAAATATTAACACTTAAAGCTTTCATTCACATACGTATATACAAGAACTATACAATAAACATAATGTTATGAACTGCAATGCAGGAATGGTGTAACAGTAAGACCAACCACAGTCTGTAGACTTACAGCATCGCCTGTATTTTCCAATTGCAACATACTTTCCGTTCTATTCCTGGTTGTTCATTTCTTTTCATAACGGGAAATTTACACTATATACATTATTGTCTGAAAAATATATCAAAATAACATAATGAGTTTTTTCTTAAATCTTTTTGTTTTTAAAGCGTAAGTAACTGATTTCCACAAAGGCAGGCAGAGGGCATGCTACAGTGGGGTTGGCTTACAAACAGTCATGAGTTTTTACCAGTGAGGATAATCACCAGTACGTTGAATTTGGGAACAAACAACGAAAAAAGAGCACCGGGGACAGAGAAGCCATTAAGCTCCCTGCCAGGAGTTGTGACTATGGAGTCTGGAGTGTGCCACTGGAATGACTATAGACTTAACAGGTGTTTTATCATAATCAGTTATAATAATCAGGTAAATTTTAAATGCCATTATAAAATGATTAATTACATTTAAATGATGAAGAAAAGGATTAGCTGAAGTTATGATTAGTTTAGTGTAAAGACAGGATGCAGGCTTTGTCCAAAGTGAAGGAATATTGACAATTTAAACTTTGTAAAACAAATGTTTTGGTTTTTAGGGCAAAGCAAACTATTTCCTAATGAACAGTTTTACTCTCCACGAGTATGACAAAACTCCAGGGAAGTCACTGCCCCGCTTTGCTGCAACCCAGCTTTGAAACAGCAGGAACGGTTGTTACTACATTTCTGTTTCTCTTTCCTACCGCATAAAGCAATTTAATCTTGATACATGCATCCAACTCGTCATTTGTGTTTGACAATTAAGATTACTATGGCAGGATATGTCAACGCTGAGAACGTACCTGTGAGCAGAATTAGGTTTGCCCTCAAATTGACTTTATTACAATGACAGTCATTTTTGTCAGGTTTCATGTTATGCCGGAATATGCACACCCATTAAAATAAAGTGTTACCATCCTTCCATATTTTACTTAACTGTATATATACTCAGCATAAGCTTTTTATTTTTAGGACAACCTGTTTGTTTTAATAAGAAACAGATCAGTTTAAATTGATTTTGATCCGACTTTATGTTTCCTCTGCAAAAAAATGGCCACAGTAAATAAAGTCCTCTGTTATGAGCACAACTCAGGAAATCTATAGAAGTGCAATGAGCTGCTGATTATTTCCCCAGGTTAAAAATGGGAAATACAGTCAGTAGTGATTGACTACAAATGTTTTGTATTATTAACTTTCTGAACTTTCAGAAGAACTTCAGAGCCAGGCTAACTGTTTCTACGTGTTTTCACGTATGCTAAGCTAACAACCTCTTGGCTCAGCAAAGTTCAGTTCAGGAAATGGAAAGTGTAGCAGACGATTGTAGGACAAAATAGAAAGAAAATACAATTTAAAAATTATTTTTGCAGTTCTATTTCAAAAATGTTATTAATTCTTAAAACAGAATAATAATTAAAATGTAGTAATCTGCAATTTACTTCGTTACTCAATGCATTATTAAAATTATTTTTTTTTCAACTTAGCAATATATTAACTGATTGTAAGTGAACACTGGCAGGGTCTATAATCATTCTAGTGGCACACTCTAGTCCCCACAGCTGACACATGCACCTCCACAACTATGGCCTTTGACCTCTCCTCACATGTTCACAATACAAGTTCAATAGTAGTTCTAATGCACTTGAAAAAACAGGCTTACACAACTGTACACAGATAAAAACATGAATGTAGCAATGCAGTCATCACATTTTGAACACGTCTTGTAGTCGTTTTAGTTTACAGCACCTGACAACTTTTTTTCTTCCATTTCATATTTGAAGCACAGAGGGCAGAGCGATGCTGCACACAGATCACTCTGGAGTTTTGATGAGGTAACCATCTCTGGTCTGGTCTAAGTTCACTGGCATTGGAACAAAAAATCTTTGTAAAAAAAAAAAGAAGGAAAATATCTGCAGCAAGTCTATCAGATGCTGCAACGGGTGAGCTGATGTTTGAGACCGTCTCACTGAGCAGCACGTTCACAACATCACGCTCACTGTTCATTTCTGAGCTGACAGGGTTCTGTGACTCGAGTCCCTCTCGGATCCTAAATCGTCCCTTCTTGACCTGGCAGCGACTGGGCCTAAAGTGCTGTTTGGACTGTGCTCTTTAGAGGCACCTCCACTGGAGTCTGCAGTGGGCCGCGGTGGCCCTGGAGGTAGAAGAGGCCCTGGGTCTGAGTCTCCCTTCTCAGCTGTGAGAAAGGAGTCACTGGTGGGACCCTGGGGCGGAGCAGCACCCGTGGATGGCGAGGCTTCAGCAGTGGCAGCGGTGGTTGGAACCGGAGCAGTGGAGCGAAACCGTCTGCTGATGGCTTTAGTGGTTTGCAACGGGCTCTGGGTCGTAGTGGGTAGAGGAGCCTTGGGTGATGCAGGTTGAGAAGGAGCAGAGGTCTCAAGTTCAGCTGAGGCCACTGGGGTGTTTTGGAGGTCAGGAGAATATGTGGCGAGGCTTTCTTTCTTGTTGCAAGACTCACAGCAAAGCTTATTATATCCAGGGATGGAACAATAACGGGCAAGAACCTCCATTTGACAGAAAATCGATTTATCTCCCAGACATGGCTCATCTAGTAATAACAGAAGAGAGGACATCATTACAGTAAGAGTAAGATTTTGCTTTAGATGTGTACGCAATTGATTGATGTAACAAATGATATATTGACTTACTTGAAGAGATTTTGTGGACAGTGTTTTCAGGAGCCCGTTGGTGTACAGCTTCATCTTTTATTGTGGAGTTTTCCATTGTTTCAACGGTGTGAGAAGACACTGGCTGTCCTGCAAGGGAGGACAAAATTAGGCTAAAAATATTTCTAAATAAGACGTTAAACAGCAGCCACAAGATCCAAGAAAAGCTCTGGCCACCTCTTGCTACTGTAAGAAAACAGAAGTCGTGTTGTTAGAAACCTATAATAAAGCGTGGTGCTATTTAAAGAAAGCAGGGCACAACCTGGACTTCTTCTTGTTTCTGACAAAAAACACTCCACTTTCCACTCACTGCCTGTAAAGGGAAACAGAAAGAATTGGTGGCTCCCAACCCTTTAAAGAGGAAGAAACATGAGAAGCGCTGCAGGTGGACATCAGAGCAGAAATGTTTTGACACAAAAAAAATATATTTAGACAGTTTCTTTAAGTTATTCAGATGGTTCTTTGTCTTAGAGTACATTAAGGACCAAGTGCACTTAGACGAGCAGGCGTTATTCATCCTGGGAGGATGAAATGTGTCTACAATTAAGGCCTGTTTGGCAAATTGTTGACATACCTGACATTAGTAAGTTGATTATTTCACTTCTAACTGTTGGTACTCGCTAAATTCTGCTCAGTTCCACAAGGCTAATATTGTGTAGAAAGATTAAAACATGTGTTCAGTTTGATCTGGCTGTGAGACAACTTCTTAGTCAGAAAAACATCATATACTATGTGAAGTATCATTTGGCCTTGCTACTGCCAGATGACTAAATATGCAGAATGCAGTTAAAATTAATCACCCACAAGTTCCCCAAAAGAAACACAGTTTCTTTAGCAGTTCTCTAGCAGTGTGTGTAAGACAGTTAGCAACCTGGTAAATATAGTGTGAATCCTGTTCCCTAGTTACATACACTATAATCTCACCTGGACATGGACTCAGTTTACAAATAAGGACCGTTTCTGGCTTCTCGCCCTCACATTCTCCGATGGTGTTGTCGCTGGCTTTGCAAACCACCTGCCTTTGCTGAATCCCTTCATCACAAGTCACCGAACACTATAAAGCACCACACGCACACACACACACACACACACACACACACACAAATACACAAACATACATGTTAAAGCTATAGGAAATGTGTTAAGTTGTAGCTCTTGACATCCACTGTCAGGGTCTACCGCATCAAACAATTAAATCTTGATACATGCATCCAACAGTTCATTTGTGTTTAAGCATGATTAGATTAGGCAAGACTATCATGACCTGTTTGCGACAAGATATGTTAACAATGAAAAATCTCAAGGTGAGTAAAAAATGACAAATGGTAGAACTACAAAGTGGATATGTTGCAAAATGTTATTTTTAAAATCTGATATACCCGAATGTTTTGTATTATTAATTATCCCTTCATGTAATACTGCAAATGAACATAACATGTTGGAGTTACTTTACTATTCTCCTATTAGTACTGACTGAATTTGAGACCAGGATTTGGTTGTACCAGCTGTTCATAAATCCATCACTTAGTTGGTGTGTGTTAAGTCTCAATTCTTAGTAGCTATTAGCAAGTCTCAAACTACAAAACTGATTTACTAAATCTAGTTGCGCCATTAAAACTTAAGAAATGTCTTAGCTAGTAAAGGCTTTAGTAATGTGTAAATTATAAATCGGTTGCAAGGTGATATCTGTAGCAATCTCCAATCAGAAGTAAAAAAAGTAAACTTTACTGCCAATCCTTTGTGAACAGATTTGACTTTGCTGAGATCACATAAATACATGGAAAAATCTGTGTGCTTCAAAGTTAGTAGCTTTTTATGTAGTTAAGCGTGAGAGGGCAACATCAGATTGATGCTAAGCTCAGCTAAAGTTTTCCAAGTTCACGTCATCACATCAGAATTTAAATCAAGGTTGGGTATGTCAACCATACCTCTTTTACTCTAAATCAGTCATACATTAGAAAGCTAATGTTTAATACAGTGACCTTCAAATCTGAACACTACAACTAGGCTAAGTTTGAACACAGCTGGTGCAGCTGGTTGACCTCCTCACTCACCTGAGACCAAGCCCCTGTCCTCCACTGGGCGGGGCATATGGTGTGGTTACAGGCTCTCCTGGTCTCGGGACGATCCTCTGTGCAGTGTTTGCTGTGGACGGGCCTGTTAGTGCCGTTGTGGAGTGCCTGCATGCACTGCACCACCCTGGTCTGGTAGCCGAGCTTCCCGCAGGTCTTACTGCAGGGACTCCACTCCTCCACCACCCACCTGTCAACACAGCAGGCTCTTTGAAACGGTTTCACACGGCAATTACATTCTCCAGTAGTCAAGAATAGAATTTCTATAAAGTGGCATAGATTAAGTGAGGGTAGACATACAAAGGCAAAGCCATTATTACCACTTCTAATATGGAATTTATCACAGCGTATTAGGGCTACTGTAGATTAAAGAAAGAAAGAAAAAAACAAAACGTAACTGAGGGAGTGGGGTAATATTCTGGGGGGAAATTTTTAATTTACAAGAAAAAACTCTTTAAAAAAAACTTTTTACTGCAATTACTGCTGCTGTGCAGTAACACTTGTACAATAAGACGTGTGATCTGGTTATATATCTTGATCATAAAATAGAGGTTGCTCTAAAATGGTTTGGCAAAGTATTAATTCAACATGTTTAAAGACTACTGCTAGACTCCTTTCTGGCATGAACCAAAAGTCACTCTCCCCCCTCCAGCTAGTTCAGAATACAGCAGCTCGGCTTCTTAGTGGTTTTAACAGACGACATCACATCACCCCAATCCTATATCCTTTCCATTGGATTACAGATTTAAAGTGCATCTGGGTCTGGCCCCTAAGCTACATAACAGAAATGTTGCCCCCTTATGAGCCAGTTTGCAGACCTAGGTCCTCGGGTGGAGTATAGACTTTAATGTGATGTTGTCTTCTTATTTTTTACTTTATTTTATTTTTTGTATGGATTCTGTTCTGCTCTTATATTTTTTATATTTATATATATTTAATTACATTTTGTAGTGGCTATCACTTCCACATCCTTATCTTACACTGCCTCATTTGAACGAGTCATTCGCATGAATGTGCATCGGTAGATCCACATAAACATTCATCACACTTCCCGCCTGCATCCATACACTGCCACTCTCCCTTTCCTTTTCCTCTCCTCTCCTCCTGTCTGTGTAGTTGCTGTGGCTGCTTTAACATACAGTATGTTGGTGTTCAAGTTTGCACTGTTGTACTATAGAACGTTCTAAAATTAGTGTAAAATGTTGTTAATAACTATTAAATAAAAATGATTCTGGCCATTTAAAATGGATGAAGAAACAATGAATGTCGTGCAGCATTTAGTATTACATCATTGTAAAGACGGGCTTTCTCTCAGCACCCCCGAAAGATTTTTCCTGCGAATTTCTGAGTTTATAGTTTCAGAAAAGGTTTTTTTTTCTCATATATTTAAAACTTTAATCTTGGAAATTCACAGTTTTTTCTCAGAATATTAGCCCACTGGACTAGATATTGCTGCACTTTACATTTCACTGTTTGATCTTATATGATTACATGCGATTGAAATTTACGGCTGTACCATCAATGCTTGGAGATGTACTTACGTAGGCTGGCTGCACTCTTGGACATTGCAGCGTTTGCGGATGGGTTTGGGCTTTTTGCTGGTTTCACAAAAGTTACGATGTACCAAACGGCTGTCACTCTTCCTCCTGCATCCGTATTTTGTGTACTGTATGCCTGAAGGACGATAAAAAGTGTACATAATTATTAATCCAGCAAGGTTATGCAGACATATAGCATATTTAAAGATACAAATCTTTAATCCAAATGCATTTAACTCTAACTGCTAGTGTCACCTAATTATATATATCTTTATATATATCTTGATTATATATAATCAGATCACACAATGTGTGAATTATCAATTCATCAATTAATTGTGTAGTATATAATATGTCAGGAAATTATATAAAAAAAATAAATAATAATAATTAAAAATAAAAGGGCTTTAAATAGTTGGATTTGTCAAAATCTAAAGATATTTACTTTACAACAACTAAAAACAGAGAAAAAAACAAATCCTCTCACTGAAAAAAAATTGGAAATGTTTGTCATTTGTTCTCAGTGACTTTTTCACTGCAGAGCGACAAGAACATGGAACAACAATATGGTGAAAGAACACCACTGCAGCATGAGCCAACCAAGCTATGACTTGCTGCCTTACTTGCTTATTTATTTTAAAAATGCACCCACTGACCTCCCCCACAAGGTTTGGAGCACTGAGACCAGCTTTTCAGTGCCCACTCGTAGGTGTCGAGTTCAGCCAGAAGAACATTGTTGTTGGTAATAAGTGGTAATAGGTCCTCATGTATTATATACTTATATGTCAAGCTGATCTTTGTGTCTTCCTCCTGGGGAATGACCTGTGCCAAGTTGAAGAAAGTGCATTACATAAACAATGAAACTCAGGAAAAAGCTAAGTAAAAACTGATGATCTAGTCCCACTTACCAGCACTACAATGCCTTCATGCAGAGGACCATTTGTTTTAAGGGTCTCCTTCTCACCATCGATGGAATATTCCCACTGTAAACCATTTTCGATGAAGGTCTTTGATTCAGCGTCCTCACTTTTTGCATTCAGTATGAAGTTTCCAGTAACTTGATTCTTCACAGCTGTCAGTAATGAGAAAAAAAATGTTTTTTATGCATGTGTGGTGGGGAAAGAATGTGTGTTCATCATGTAGTTTTTAGCTTCATTCATTAAAAATCTCAAAATTTGAACAGGAATTCAGCAGCAACCCTCCCCGCTGCCAAACAACTCTGAGATTTTCCTTTAAGCGGGGAACGTGTGAGTATGAATTTTGAGATGTTTGGCGCTGTGGTTAGCCAAGAGCAATTTCTCCAAGTTGTGTGTCATCTCTTCTTCCCATGAGCTAATAAAAGCCAGAGAGAAAAACAGTGGAGAAAAGAGGAGAGGGAGGGTTTGCCTGAATGCCATGATGAGCCTGTCTTACCCATGACCGTCGCACAGAGAGCTATTGTAAGCTGAAAGCCTGTCACTCTCACGTCTCAAAACCTGAAGACAATTTAGAGTTTCAGTCTCATTACTTCTGACACATTAGAATTAAAAGATACAGACTTCATCAATGCATTCTGGTCCACCCACACAGCTACATTTAGCTCAAATTAAAAGTCATTAGCGCAGCAGTGTAGCTTAAATTACAAAAGATCCTTTCACATCACCACAACAGCCAAACCACCTGTGATGTGACTCATCAGCTGTGTTAATTGCAGGGAAATTTGTCATATTCCACCAGGAGAATTAATATAAATTTTCACTTCTCTGAAAAACAAGTTGCAATTATTTACACCTTTCTAGTTTTCCCTGTTTACAAAAAGGTTGTCACATTTATAGTGTCTTTTTGATAGTTAAGCATATGGGATATAAGACATTCTAATTGATTTCTCATTTACAGTAGAGCTGTTATAAAATCCTTTACTGTAATAAACTTAAGGGACAAGGCATTATGAATTCTTTACTTCACAGAAAAGTGTCTAATTCAGACAAGAAAACACAGGCAGTGACTGACTTTTGCAGACTTTGTCTCAACAGAAACTTTAACTTGCATTGATCTGCATAGAGGGGTCACTTTGACAACACTTGTAACTGTGTAACGTCACCACATCCCTCCTGTCCCTCCTGGATACACGTACCTATGTTAATTATGTATAGCCTTGTATCCTGGCATTCTGTTTAATCTTTTAAAGAAATACTCCTCTCAAAATCTATCTTTTAAGTATTAAATATTCTCTTCCATCTTGAAAGCTGGTTCTGAAAAGTTAGTAGCTTGTGTAGTCAGCGTGGATTCACAGCTGTTCATTTCAACTCTGACACAGAGTAAGTGTACATAAAAAGGCATCTTGTGCAGTTCTTCTCTCATTTGTTCATTATGTAGTTGTCTGTGCAGAAGTCAAAGAAGGTGTGAGTTTTCTACTCTCATATACGTATTAATATCTATGTGATAGTTATTGTTGAAACTCGCTCTGCATTAACCATTTTTTCCAGTTTGGCTGCATGTTCACTAGCTGCCATTTGTATTTGTATAATTATTACGTTATTATATTTATCCTTATTATTTGTTTATTTGAGACTAAAGTCCTGCTCAGATTAACAAAAGAAATATATGTGAAATTAATATGTGTGGAATGTCATATATGTCATGTGTGGAATTAAAGGACCTGGTATAGCCAAGGAATGGGGAAAAATAAGGAGTGCTGTTAACACCTTGTGTCACCTGAGGGTCTGTTGCTGAAATTGAGAAGTGGTTTGATATGAAAAGCAAGGCGATCGATGACCGCAACAGGAGGGGGTCAAGGGGAAGTCTTCACTGAGATAGAGGAAAGAAGATGTGCCATAATTTGTGATGTTGCAGTGTCAGGTATTGCAACAGAGGATGTTCCCCTTCACCATAATGTGAGGAGTCTGATTTCTCTATCAGATAATAGAAAGTAGTTGCAATAAAAACCATGGACTTGAAAAACCAGCTGGGCCTCATGCAAGCACATTTCTGATATCCTAGGTTTCTCTCGATCTTTCTCTATGACCCTTGCTGATACAATTGTTCAGTTAGATTCACCAGAACACTGTTGAATTTACAAATTGTTGAATTGTAAATTGCTTGTTTTAACTTGATACAGTGTTGAAAAAAGATAATGATGGTTATTTGGTAACGTATTTTAACTTTAAATTTCTTTTGGATAATAACACTACAAAAGAGAAAATTGTTTTCCTTAATTACTCTTATCTACCACTTAAGAACGAATCTGATTTGTATGAGTGGTTCTTGCATGAGACTTGTGAGTTTTTGGAAAGATATGTTGCTGTTGAAAATTGTTTTAAAATATCTTTTTTGAATCCTGTGAGCACCACAAATTAAATCCCTTTCACCTTCATTGTATAGGACTGGCAACAGCAATCACACAGCCAGATATGTGTGTGTGTGTGTGTGTGTGTGTGTGTGTGTTTTGGTTGAACTGACCCTTTAATGTCCTTATGTATTGAGTAAAGAAGTTGCTTAAGAACTTGGTGATCCTGTGCTCTGGTCTGTGCCAGTTAATAAAATTATACAGCTAGTCTTACAAACTGGATAACTCAGCAACTACAGTCATGTGACGTGGACACACACAAACCTGTAATCTGAAAAAAAAAGCAGCAATATCATGTGTTTCCATAGTTGGAAAATGATGAGACACACACTCACCAATTATATGAGGGGAGGTCTCATTCTCTTCGATAACAATGTGGTGGGCTCCTATTGGGATGTCGAACATTTTCAGCATTCCTAACAAGACAAAGAGGCACAGCACGGTTCAGCTGGGAGCTTTGAACAATGGGAACTTATTCTGAGCTGTAATAGCACCCAATTATTTCTGAATCAAGGCAGAAATGTTGGTTCTTTGTTTGATGATAGTGTGGGATTTCGGGCTGCGGTCAAACATAGAAGATTGGGAACATGTGTTTAGGGCTTTGGGATTAATGACTTTGAGCTTAAATGATGACAACCATCTTATAGAATGACTCATCTGAAGCAGAGTTGCTGAGTTCAGCACTGCCTTGTCCACGTAGTTGATAATTACCATTCTTTTTGGGCGTCTTGGTGAGCGTCAGCTTCACAGTGCGACAGTGGGAGTTGTCCCCCTCACACACTCCACATTTGTCCTCTTGTTTGTAAGAACCAACCTCTTTGTCGCAGCCTACATGCTGTGAGGGAAAAAGCAATGACAGTCGATCAAATCAGGGCTTTTACACAGACAGAGATTACTCCACTAGGAAAATGATGCCATGAGAAAAGGCTGTGAGCATCTGGTTTGGAGCCTGATGATGATGATGCATATTGGAAACACACCCAGACATAACAGGAGTATAGCCAAAACACTAAGCAGCCGGCCTGCAACTATAAAAGTCTGAACTTAATGTTCAAGGTGAATACTGAGACAAAATAATGTCTCTGTGTGTGTTTGTTCCAGCAGAGGTTTCTTTATTTTAGTGTGGTCATCAAATCTGCGTATCTCTTTCTAAGGGGCACTATTTTCCAAATACACTCTTGTAAAGGTTAAGGCCCTGTGGGAAAATGCCATTTCCAAACTCAGCTACATGTCAGATGTTTTAGCGCTCTACTGCACAAGGATGCTGATGATGTTTTCCTATCATGTCATTAATTGAACGCTGCATTCTGCTGAAAGATATGCGACATAAAAATGTGTTTTGTTTATTGTTACTTCACTCGGATGTTTGACTTTCACAGTGAAGGATAAATGAGCAGAGTTTGACAACAGAAGACTGTTTTCACATTTCACAAGTTTCTCTGAGCTTACCTTGAATCTGAGTTTACGACGCGTACTTATCAACATGATTTTCACATCATACACAAATTATTATATTTATGTCTTACAGTATAACACACAGAGGTTTGTGTTTGTGAGTGCACAAAGCTTTAGTAAAGACATACCAGACACTCTCCTCTTGCGCACACGCTGAAGGGGTCAGAGTAGCTGCAGCGGGTCCCATCATGCATCACTTGGTTCATGAACACCACCTCTCCGGTTTCCTTTGACTTGCAGCTCAGCTCACACTTGCGGCCCTCTGAAAACACACACCCCATGCAGGCATCTTCAGAATCTGATAAAAACATCAGCCTCCTGCAAATATCATCTGCTTTGCAAGAAACTTTCAAGCTAACCTCTAAAAGAGGGAGCCAACTCTGCTTCGCTCTTCACAGACTTACCATCTGGGTGCTCGTACGGTAGCCAGGTGTGCTTGACGTTTTTGTGGTATTTGTTGCTCCTCTGGATGCACTGCTGAGCACGGAAGTCCTCGTAAGGGCCAGCGCACTCCTCTGTGTTGCACATCTGGTAGTCAAAAGCAGAGCCTGGGCAATCTCGACCACCGTAAGCAGGCCTGATCGGTGACAAAAACAAAATAATTTCTTTGTATACTAGCTGCTAAAACAGTATACTACGCTGATAAGGTTGTCATATGTGACCATTAGTATCATGTACGCTGTATGGATTAGTATCTAGAATTTGAGAGACAGCTACTATTCTCAGTTTTCACTGTGCACACTGTATGAGAGCGATGCTGCAGTTAGCTGTGTGGTAGTGTAATTCTGACGGTACACCCGTCACCCGTTTGTGCTGTGACGAAGGCCTCTTAAACAAGCTGTTGCCTGCAGATCATGGTAGACTGAGAAATCCAAACTGAATCATAAAAAACACACTACTTACTGTGTGGTATTATCATTTTGTGCTTGTGTACTTACAGTTTGCCACAGATTAGAATTCTGAAGGGTCTACAATTTAGATAAATGCTTCATTTGATCCTGTCAGAGTAAACTATAAAACAAAAAAATATGCTAAATTAAGGGAAATCACATAAAGCTTAAAAGTATATAAAAAGTACCAAAATGGCAGAGATACATATTGTAGCTCACCTTCTTGAACTCTGTCAAGTCAAGTTTTTGTCTAAGTAAACTTAACCAAAGCCAGTACTGGATCAAAACCTGGCCCTGCTCTCCAGGTCTGCATTTACACTTTTACAGTATGTCATCATCTGTTGGATGAACACACAGATCATATAAACTATCTGGACACTGAAAGTTTCCTCGCTGCCGCAGCACTCACGGAGGGTTGTTGCACTGTCTGTTGCGGGAGCGAACTCCACCTCCACACGTTCTGGAGCAAGAGCCAAACTTTGACCAGGAGCCCCAGCTCCCATCGTGGCCCTGAGGTTGCTGGCTGGATCTCCAGATGCAATGGCCCTTGAAGCACCACTAAAGTTATGACAAAGACAAAAAGAAAGAGGAACCATCTCAGGATTTTTGATTTTCTCTCACTTCCTATATTCAGAAAGCTCGACTTTGCAATTATTGCACAAAAAACATTAGAATTCATAACTGATTCTAAAACATTTCCCACCTTTCCTGGCGCACACTCTGTCCCATCGACCGGAGGACCTTTTTTGGTTTTACAAAAGTACTGGTTGTCGGGGTGACTGCACCACAGTTGTTTGCAGGGATCGTAGGTTCTAAACTAAATGAGGAAACAGCAATTTTGAGTTTCATTTATGTCTAATTGTCTGTCTAGGAGACCATAGGATTTCTGCTGTTTCAAGAACTAATAAATCAACAGATCAATATTTATGGCATTTACAGGTGTGAACAACTTACAGCGGTGCACATTTTATAACCAACACCAAAATCAAAGCGGCACTGTTCGTCCATTGAATAATTTATTCCAGGGAGCTCAGGAAGCTTGGGCCACTTGTGTTCAAAGGGATCATCCAGCAGGCAGTCATAGGAGCTGAAGAAAAGTTGAAATTTACAGAGTCATAAATGTGAAGAACAGGAGAAGAACAAACCAGAGAGGAGAACATTCTGAAAAAAATCAATAACATATTAGTCTTCTTCACACAGAAGCTGTGCAGCATTAAACCAATATGGTGCAAAGAGAAATAGAGAAATCATAGCCTGAGAAAAACACAACGCACTGGATGTATCGATTGAGCTCCTGCTTGCTGCAACGTGACCAGTGATAGCGGTGGAAAGCTGCTTGGACAAGTGGTGCCATGATGCTGCCCATACTGGTCTCATCAGCACAACGATTCCCCTGGCCGTCATGCTCCATGCCTAGCCTGATGAGAAAATAAGGCTTATTGTCAGAGGGTACTCATCTTACATCTTCCCTGTTGTTAAGTTAAATGCAAAACAGACAAGACAGGAAACGCTAGGAAAAAAAAGGGCCTCAATACTTGATAACTGGGAACTGAAATGTGTCCATAGAACAAAGTATTAAAAACTGTCAAGTACCCAAGGTTGGCCTAAATGCTTTGCCAGATTCTTAGTAACTTTGATTAGATATTTCCCGATCTAAAATCATTTATTTTGTCTTTTATTTAGATAAAGTTCTCGTACTGCTTGTGTTCGGACAACAAATACAACGCACCGATAAATCTGGTATATTTGTCTAAATGAAAAACCAGAGTTGCCAAAATAGACACATAAATATATCAAAATATCTCTATCAATATAAGGGATTCTAGTCCTGGTATTATTTGTTATAGATTCATTTTAACTTTTCCTATAACATAGCATACTACTCACATGTCTGTATGCTTTTTTTTCTGGCTTTCATGCCTTTATGGATAGCAACAGCCGAAGGTAGACAGGAAAGGGAGGAGAGAGAGACTAAGCCTAAAAACTGGAAAGATAAAACAGCTTGGCTTTGTTCAAAGGTGACAAAGCCATCACCTCTAAAGCTCACTCATTAACACATTGCGTATTTAATTTGTACCAAAAACAAAGTGTAAACATTTTATCAATTCATTAAATCAGTTTTATGGATGGTTATGTTCCAGTCTATTTCTTGGCTGAGACCACCACCACTGGTTTCCTGGCAACATGTCCTGGTTAAGAAACAGACTGGCACGCAACCCTGTTGACGTGACGTTTTTTTACATTTCGATTTTTGTAAGCGAGATACAACAGATTAAATATTGAGCTTCAGAAGTGCTGGAGGGTGTATTTGTGCTAAGACTAGGTTAGCTGGCTGCCAATGGTATCTTCATATTTAGCAACTATTCCTTCAATATCACCACTTTGACAAACTGAGACCAGTCAAGTAGGTGAGCTATGAAAAAAGAGCAGCCAAACATGACAGACATGTCTTTTACATGCTAATAATTCCGTTTTTAGGACTTTATCATGTGAATAGTAAACCCCAGGACCACCTTTCAGACAAATCAATTAAATATTCTGGATTCTTAGGATGCTGTGCTGGCTGAACCACTCTAAACTCAATGACATCTCCAAACACATTCAGGTTGAGCTTATGACATCATATCTCATTAGCCGCTGACTCATTGACAAGGCCTACTACTACTACAGCAGCCATGGTTTTTTCATAAACAGTATATGGACAAAACACTAGGACCATCCTTCAGCTGTTCACAGAGACTGGCCAGGGCTTAAGCTCTCTATGGTGCTGCTGTCTATTCTTTGAACCAACCGTGGCCTGAAAATGGGTAAGGAAATACGGTAACATCCACTAATTGGTCATGCCAGTGGGATCTGAATTTGTTTGATCTAAAGAGCAATTCAAGCCTATTTCACAGATATTCAGTAATAGTTCAGAAATTAATAAATTAGGGTAAAACCTACCGTTTTTACACACCCAATGAATGTGCAGAAATAAATACTATAATAAATAAATGATGTGATTTTTTTCCCCTTTTCTTGTTGGAATTCTTTTACTTGTACTTGAGCCTCTGCAGTGCCCTGACCTTATTAAAACATGTCGAGGAGAAAGCTAAACAGTTTAATAGACTAAATGCCTTATTTGGTGTAAAAAAAAAAAAAGAGTGTCTGAAGCTGCCTGCTTTTCTGCTATTTTGTATGGATGTGAACTTGAAGTCTGTAAAATCTATTGAGACATGCCTGGGTGAAAGCTTTTAGAGAGTGTGGACTTCTGTACCAAACTTGAGCTGTTTATTAGAGGCAGATTTTTAGTATAGGTCAGTAAGGTGAAGATGAAGATTTTAACCAGAACCAAGAAACATGATCACACCACTCTTGTTTGAGCGTTTTACACTGGCTCCCAGTATATTTCAGAATTGATTTTAAGATTTTACTAATTACTTTTAACTAGACTAGATCTCTGACCTATTAGTACAATGCATAGAGGTCTTTAAAACGAAAGGGGTGCACTTTCTTTATAAATAAAGATTATTATTATATTATTAAAAGTGGTACATGTGTTTAAAGGTGGAGCACATTCTTTTGGAAGCCAGGCTATTTGCAATTTACACATTCAGCAGACACAGAGCAACATTATTGCTTAATTTGGAGTTGTGTTTCTGTCTAATATTTACTGTCCTGTGAGCTCTTTTGGTCTCCGCTACTCATAAGGGAAATATCTGGTTCTTATATGTTCACAAGCTGGTTGCTAATTGTCTGGCTGCCGTTTGGAGCTGGATGGATTACATACTGTGGGTTTTGAGAGCTTTTGTGCTGTAAACAGCTACCTGCTGCGGATGAAAAATGATGCCATGAAAGTAAAACAAAGTAATCATGCAATACATTTTTTAAATAAAAAAAAAATATATATATATAGCAGTTTTAAGTCAGTAAACTTACTACTACGGTTTCAGGAAAATCCATACATGTTTTCATTACACAGTCTTCATTCAGTGAGTAATTAAAGGTGTAATGTGGTTGTGTGCTGAAGTCTGTGCTTATAGTATTCGCTTGTCTGTGTGCGATGTAACCGCAATAATAAAGGCTTTTTAACTTTTGTATTTTTATTCCCTCTTTGTGGACAGCAAAATTCCTATACTTTACTTACTATAATATATCTATTCAACTTCTATTCTCCCTTATCCTGATTAGGGTCTTGGAGGGATTAAGCAAGAGAATACATGGAGAGTTTATCGCAGAGAGAAAACTAATCTTTATTTATCTAAATTCTACTGGGAATTTATAGTTTTCATTTTACCATCATCCAGCTGGTCATGCATGGTTGTAACCCAGGCTGACTGCGAGGAGACAGCTGTTGCTGTGCTGCTTGTATGTATTTGTAACAAACTTATTAATGCTTTTATAAATTAAATAAGGTCTAATTAAACAGGTTAACAAGGCAAATCGGTTTCCATCAGTCACAAGTGTAACCAAGAACAGAAGCTTATAGCTTGTGGAATCAATCAGTCTATGAAGTGAAATTCATCCCTTATGCTACAGGAAAATTTTAATCAGATTTGCTAAATTACACTGCTGGCATGTGACTGGCACAATTACAGGAAGCAAGGTTTACTTATAAAGTATGAAACTCACTCTCAAGGCATTCAGTCTTTCACTACTTCTTTTGCCTACTTTGAGTAATTCAGCAAATAAGAGGTTAATTAACTCGAGACCTACAATTTTACTTAAAATCAAAAAAAATATTCATTCTGTTTTAAAATTCTATTAAGTTAGTCTGTGATTATTTGCAAAGGACAGTGAGAACATTGATAGCAGGACAACTGGACGTCAGATTCACTTTAAACAGATTTTTACTCTGGTTTTTGCTCATATACGTTTCAAAAGTTTCTTACTGCAAGATTAAACAGTACATGGTAACAGAAAAATAAGGAAAAAGGGAAGCAAATTCTTTGATTCCGAAACTTCTTTTGCTGATGAATTTCATCATATGGTGGAGACATTTCAGGTGATTTTAAGGTTTGAGATGAACATGTACGTTTCAGCTGTGTGTCTCAGTCAGTAGGTTTGTAATACTCAGCGCTTCACTGCCTGGTCCGGCAAAAAAAGAAAAGGAAACAAGCACTCTAAAACCACTGAACCACAAACACCATCACAGTGTTGGTGTCATTCAGTTTGGTGAAAGTGATGCATTCAATCACTGAGTTAGTCATGCTTGTTGACCAGGTTTCTAAGCAGTTCCAGGAATAGTATGGAGCCTTCCCAATTTCCACTGTTAGCGGATGAAGAGGTTAGTGACCTGTTCTTCTGTTCTTTTGTACAATGTGACAGTCAATTAAATCTGTCTGCACAGTTTTTCAATGTTCGCGGCGCAGCGGGGGCGCAGGTCACAGACGTTTTCTCATAAGCCTTTAGAGCCCCATTAGAGGAAAGGAAGTCTGTGTGAAATGGACCAGTAGTTATACATGATAACTCCGGTTTATGATTACAGGCTGAAGCTGCTAATGAGTCAGACTGAGAAACACCAAGTTGAGAGTGTAGGAAGCCTGTTCCTTCACTAACCTTGTATAATGAACTATAGAGCTGGAGAGAGGAGAAAAGTAACTAAATATGTACTTTACTTAAATAATTTATCATTTTGAGAAATACCATTATTTGCTTCATTAAACTAGTCCAAAGCAGTCGGTTACCTTTGCTTAGCGTAAAGATTGGAAATAGCCTGTCTCTGTCCAAAGGTTAAAAAAGAGCCTACCAGCACTTCTAACGCACATTACAAGCTGAAAACATTAACAAGTTTTATCTGCTTTGTTTAATCAGTACAAAAGAGTGAACAAATTACAATTACTGGTTTTATGAAGGGTCATGTGACAACAAAGACTCCTGCGTATGCGTTATGGCTGCCTCACACATCCTGCGTCCCTTCCGACCGTTGGTTGTGCACGTCCTTAGAAGTTAACAAGACGTGCCTGTGACGCAAAGAAGTAGGTAAAATGGGCAGCATGAGGATTTGAGCGACTTTGACAAGGGCCAAATTCTGATCGCTAGACGACTGGGTCGGAGCATCTCCAAAACTGCAGCTCTTGTGGGCTGCTCCCAGTCTGCAGTGGTCAGTATCTATTAAAAGTGGTCCAAGGAAGGAAAAGTGATGAACCAGACAGGGTCAAGGGGCCAAGTCTCATTGATGCACCTGGGGAGCAAAGGCTGGCCCGTGTGGTCCGATCCGTCCAGGTGGTAATGTTATGGCTGATCGGTGTATTTCACAAAACTATTTCTTTATGTGCAGATTTGATGCAGTGGCATTTTGTGAGTTAAAACCTCTAGTAAACCACCTACAAGTATAGAAATATTGATTCCATGTACATAACACATATCACAGCTTAAACAGTCTGAAAGGTACTGCCTCATTTTTGCTTCAGAAACATTTTTTTTGTTCTTTTCTTTGAAGACTTTTCACATGTTTTCTTACAAACTTCTAGTGAAATGAGCCAAATGTTTGAATGTGTCAGTGTTTAAAGTCATCTTGACACAAGATGGCATGGAAGAAGTTTTCTCAAAAGAAATACTGTCTAAAATTAGCAACGTTTCCTTGTCTAAATAAAAAAGAAGATCTGTTGAGAATTAATAAGTAAACAAGACTAGGAATATAACCAAGTATTGAAAGACAACTTTCATTGTTTGATAGTTTATTATACTGAATGCTACAGACACATTTTCAAGGATACTAAAAATGTATCAAAGTTTGATTCCCCAACCCCTATGAGGACTACTAATCTTGATATACAATTTGGCTAATACGTTTTAAGTTCAATTGCAGGGAATTTTGAAACATTGTGGTATTTTTTTTAATCAAATATTTTCATATTGTAAATAAATGTAAAGGATATATTTATAAATCACAATATCTACTCAAGCCACCCTATAATCTTAAAACTGAAGAAAAATCTTTGGAGAAATCTAAATGGTATTTAAAGGTGTGTTAAAGTACATAATGTTGTGTGACCTTTTTTTAATCAGGTACGCCTGTGCAATCTAATGTAGACCAGCAACAGCTCTGCCATAACATCTATCTTAGAGAAGCTTACAATGTTCAGTTTTTGGTGACATTGTCGGAAATTTGTAAATTATGTGTTTATTATTGATGTCATATTTAAGGTTGTGGTGTACTGAACTGCATTATACAATGCTAAAACTTAATAAGTCAACAAAATCTGACAACATTATAGGCATAAAAGTAGACTTTATGGCTAATAATAATGTTAACGGCAAATAATAACTTTATACCTAATAAGAGTGTATATACGTGTATAATATACAGTATAACAATATATTTTAATCCATGCGGTTTGTGTACATTGATAGTACATACATATGCCCATATGTGGTATTTATATGTGGTACTGATACAAATATTTAGTTAATTGTTTTTCCAAGAACAGAGCGGAATAACCTCATCTTGCCTGCATGCACATGCCAAGGCAACCAGATGCTTTGTTTTATTAAGACAACAGAGTCCCATTAAATGGCTCTACCTTTAATTACAGACTACAGTTACCATGCAAAACTATCGCCTTAATTGGATGCAGTACGATTCTGTAAGACTCTGCTGGTGCTTTCATCGTCATGCTATTACTTACACATGGCCGGTTTCATGAGCAACCACAAAGGCGGAGGAGAAGCCATCCTCATGGTTCAGAGTGCAGCTCCTCAGTGGGTGGCACATCCCTGTCACTGGAGCATAACCTGGGCAACAGAAAAGACCACACCGCCCTAATAATCAAGTACCAGGAGGAAGGTCAGGAAATTCTCATGCAGCACTAATGATTTAGGTGGAAAATTATCTCTTTATGTGACACTGTTGAACTTAGAGAACTAAATATGATGTGAGTGCAGTCATTGAGGAGGTTGCAATCTTTTCTTTCAAAGAGAAACCTACATATTTATATGTATGTACTGCTTATGATGTGATGTAGGTAGTACCATTCATGAAAATAATAAACAAAAAACAAACCCTCAAGGTGAACTAAAGGAAGAGGGAATGCTTCCAAAGAATGAAAGTAACATTATGTACCATATAGAAATGTTCACTTAAGGTTAATGCAGTTTCAGTGATGTTTACACTACATGCTCATTAAAAAAAAAACAGATGCCATTCATTGATTATAAAGTACATATATAAGCTCTGTCTGAACATGGACATAGAAAAATCAAGTACTGAAGCCTTTATGCCTTTGTGTTAAAGCACCTTGAAAGCAACTTAATTAACACTGATGTACAATAGAGATTTAACAAGTGAAGCTCCTGTGTGACAGCTTGTACATCAAATATCTCCTCGCTAAACATAAAAAAAATGCCTTGAAGTAAACAGCAAGCTTGAAAGCCTGTCATCATTACCCAGCAGACATCCACCTGACATCCCAACATTTCACACAGTTCACCACACTTATAGGCAAAGCACAAACATTAAACATAACTCGATCAAGAGGTGTGCAGCGATTCAGCTTAGCGTGTTTGGTTTGGTTCAGAAGCACACTGGTTCCTGACCGTCTTTTGGTGGCTTTCAGATAATTTTCATGCTCTCTGACCATGAGAAGAGCTTTTTGGCATGCAGGTAAAGAGCAGAAAATGCAGCAGACAGACAGCCGGTGATAAAGACTGGTGGTGTTGAAAAAGAGAAACATCTGCAGCAAGTTATTTCAGTCAGAGCAGAGTATTTTTTTTTTTGCTATAGTGTGATTATGACGGTTTTTGATCCAGATGGTTGATGGTTCTATTCATAAATGACAACAAAATGGACACATTTAGTGCTGCGAGTGAAATGGCAAAACATGAAAGCAGTTGTGGAGCAGGACCCTTTATCTGAAAGGGCAGATAAAAGGGAATTCAGGAGAATGCAGATTACATTCCCATGAAGAGGCCATCGGGAGCTTTGCACATTTAAGCGAGAAGGTGCAGCAGCAGCAGCAGCAGCTTGGGTCAAAAATAATCTTCTCTATTGCTGACATCATGAGTGAGGAGAGAGGTGGTCCCTGTCATCTGGTTGATAAACTCAAACACTGAACATACCGCATGGGAAATCAGTCAGGAGAGCAGATCAAAAACATTTACAGGGTTTGATTACAGTGCATTTGTAAATGTGGTGATCTCATTATGAGGTAACAAACTTGTGTGATTCATGAAGTTGTTTCATCTCCATTTGCTCTGGAGCTCCTCTATAAACTGACTGGATTTTCCTGTATTTATCCCACAGCCCGATATCTGTGTTTGGATACAGAATCTACCATCTCACAGCTAAATTTTGACAAGGGAGTGTGATGTCTGCTCGTGACCCCGAGACACAGCACCGGGTCCGGCCCAACACAGCGCAAGGTGCCATAGACACCGGGCTTGTTATGAACACAACACAACGGCAGCTATGGCAACATCAGGAGGTGTGACAAGCAAACCAGGTAGCTTCGGGTCGTCCTCTAAACATGACACTTGTGCTTTAAAAGTTAAAAATAAACACAGGTCAGTGCAAGATCTTGAACTTGAGCACAGAGGATGTTCGTGAATTCTGGACAAAGTTTCTCTGGCGGTTAGGCTGCTCACTTCAAATTTTGTTTTGAAGGGCTGAAAAGGAGAAATACAACGTGAGACAAATGCCAAACTGACATGTATGGTACAAAACTCCTCCTAATGATTGCATACATGTGTTATTTGGATTGAGAACTATCTACTCATTCTTTATGAGTGAAGAAAAATTCACACTGAACTTTACATAAATCAATAAAGACTAAAAAAACAAGTTAGTTTAAATTAATGACAAACTAAGAAACATTTCTGTTTTTTTTCTACATGCCAAAAACCTTCTTCAATAATATCAATCTCAATTTTTTTTCATATCCAGGGTGGCGTCAATGTCAAGTCAGCAAGGTTTTGGAAAGCTAATTATTTTCCTGTGAGGTCACCGTGGGCAGAATTGGGTTTGTGACCTCAGCTGCAGCCTCCACTTTTAAGTTTCCATTGACCTTACCTGGGCAAGACTTGAAGCCAACCCCTTTGTGAATGGAAGCAGATATCAGCACTCAGTCTGCACAGGCCTCGATCGAGAAAAATACAGTACCTTGCATACCTGCGGGACCAAAATCTTGCCTTGTGAGGAAGATGGCGTGGTCGTGGTACTCGGCATGGTCAGGGTCGCGGCGTTGCTGCGTGTTGGCCCATCGACAAACCTGCTCCAGGCTGCGGGATGGGTTGCCACGCTCGATCAGGCATATAGACTGCAGAAATATAGAGACAGGGGAGAAAGTTTTACCACTCAAACTGTGAGTAGAATTTTAATTGCTCACCTTATCAGTTCCCTCTGAGGGGCACTGCAGTTGCTTGCTAAAGAGAAAAACGGCTTCTCACCCTCACAGTACTTTCACTTGGAAATCATGAAACAAGATAACTTTTAGATTAATTTCCCTTGGAAAGTTGCAACGAGGGAACGCCTGCACAGCCAAAAAGATTACATTCCCTATTTTTATATTACATTACATATATCAGAATTCACACTTCCCTAATGGAATATGTAATATGTTGTATCACTGTGTGACCTGTTTTTGTTGGTTGCGCGGATCGTTGTGGGGATTTAGGGCGTTTGGAGGGCATTTAAAGATGTATATTTTCTTCATTATCTTTATTGTTTTTGATATAATACTTTTTTTTGGAGGGGGGTAGTTTGTAATTTTTTTTTTATGTATTGGTGCCGTTGTGTATCCTGTTATTCTTTTCATTTGTTCTTCTTTTCTTTGCTATTCGCCATGGTTACTTATCACAATGGTGTCTTACATCCTGAAAAATAAAGTCATAAAAGAAAAAATGGTGATTGCATTCACATTATACCAACTGCCTGACACATTGGAGCAGTAAAGCTGAAACGCATAGGCAAGACTAACTAAACTATTAATCAAGTTCACTAAAGCCTGCTCAGGTACTCATATGTGTGACAAAAGATCAGACTGAAAATAAAAGCCAGGGCAAACACAGCCTGGTAGTGTTTCATTGTAAGAAAAATTGTAAGAATTAGTGTAACTGAAAGCTTAGAAATGTAATTAACACATATGAGCTTTTATTAGTTTAATTTTCACTTATGTGTGGTAGCTCAATTTAATCTTACAGTTACTGTTTTAAAAACATTATATCTATAATAGTTTAATTAGTCATCATCACATCTATATTACTTGACTATTTCAAGGCATTATATAATAATTATTGGCTTGTAATTCAGAGGATTTTTAAACTCCCCTTTCAGTGGACAGTGCCTGAAGAATACAAACCAACCGTGTGTGTGGGTTTTTTCTCAAACTAGCATGACAATTATGACTGCAGAAATATAATTTCCAAATGGAAACTGAAATAGCAAAATAAATATTAAGTGGAAATTAAAAAAAAACCCCTTCTGTTTATTCTTACGTGTTATAAAACTCCATCCAAGTCAACAACAAAACTCAGTCGAGGATGAAATAGTGCGGTGATTGACAGCAACACTGCTTATATGCAGAGTGTTTGAGGCCAAGAGAAATGCAAAGTGAGTTACTGACAGACCAGCCAGCGACACATTCAACATGTTTGCGCTCATCTCACATCTAATAATTGGTGCTGTGTAAACAGCATGTCTGTGCTTTGGCAACCTGAGAGCAGAAGCCAAATGCCAAATACTCTGTCTCCAGGCAGCATCAAGCTTATATGTCAATTAACAAGCACTTTAGTAAAGATGAACAGCAAATAACTCACTGAGGCCCATCACCATGCATCATTATACCTCATTACTGCATATTTTGCTGCCTGCTAACAACCAAATCTGTCAATGGTCTCATTAAGTGTCAACATGTGAATAGAAAAACAGATTAATCCACACATATAGTAAAATAAAAATGCAAATAACGTAGATGTTTCTGACTTTAATCAACAGTAAACAAACACATGGATAGATTTGTTTGCTTTTCTTTAGTTTTTCTAATTAACACCTCACTCTCTACTTGCACCTACTGTACATTACAATAAGAAATGTCTCCTTGCAGTTCTTATATATTATAGATTATTAAAACAAGTGGCATCTACTTCTAAGTATCTAATTGCTCTGCATTGTGTACATATGATTCGTCCGTTACTGTTAATCAAAATATTATATCCGACTGACTGACCTAGTGTACAGTACGCAGTGCTGAGGGGTGTTATCATTAATCACTGAAATCATCTATTATGCACTTCTCAACTTAAAGTACCAGTTCTTTAGCACTGATCTTGAATGTGTTAGGATTTTTTTTTGCCTGTGTTTTTACAGTGGCACATACCAGATTGCATCTGTCAATCAAGTGCAGCACTGAGTTGACCAGAGGCATCATCAAATCACATGCTGCTAAGAGACCCAAACCAGCCAAGGCCTGCCCCAAGATGCAATGAAAAAAGTAAATTCTCCTTTTGTATTTTATTTTTTCATTTTAATATTTTGGAAATAAAACAAATGGAGGGAGATTTGGCACATTTGAGTCAGGGTCACTGTAATAAAATCTGTGTCTTAACATGCACACAAGAAACCAGGTATCTCAGAGATATCAGGTCACGCAGGTCATGTCGCACCTGTGGTAACCTGGTTACGGTAAATCCACATAGGAGAGAAACAAGATGTTTCCCCTCAATCCCGACCCAAATTTGCAAGCATCTCTCACTAATTTTTGTAGTAGTGTTTGAATACACTGGTTCTGGATGTTTGTGTTTCTTTGTGTGTCACAGTGCTGACTGCTTAGGCTCTGAATTTTCCAAATATTCAAATGTTCTGTGGTGGAAACCAATTTATTTAAATTATTGTGTATGAACATTGGGATGCATCGCTGCATGTAATGATCTTTTCTTTTCACCCAGCTGCTCCACTGTCAAAGAGATTCTTTCTCTGGCTTAAATCTTTGTCATGCACATGCTAAAAAAAGCAGATTTTTATACACAGATACATATATATATATATATATATATACATATACACACACACACATATACACATATACACACACAAG